ATTTACTGAGAGAGGAAAGTTTAAATTCTGACTGTGATTGTGGATTTCTTTAATTTCATCATGTACACTGTTAATTGTTTTACATATTTTGTAGCTAGGTTATTAAATGCATATAAATTTCTTGACAAATTGAACTGTTATTATTCTGAGGTATCTTGCTTTACCTCAGTAATATTTTTTACCTTGACTTTTTTCTGGTGATAAAATAGTTACAAGTATATTTATTCTCTGAATACTGGTAGGTCAACATTTCTTCTTATATCCTTTTGCAAAATGATGCAGCTTTCTGTTGTTTGCTTCAGTATTTATCCTTCCCCAGTCTTATTTATTATTTCTTTTATTTATTTTACTTAATGTATATTTCACTTAGTCAAACATCATTTTCAGGTAACTTATTTCTGTTGACATGCAGATTCTTTTTTTTTTTTTTTTTTTTTTTTTTTTTTTTTTTTTTTTAATGTTTATTTATTTTGGGAGAGAGAGAGCATGCATGTGCAAGTGGAGGATGGGCAGAGAGAGGGAGAGAGAGAGAGAATCCGAAGCAGGCTTCACACTGTCAGCACAGAGCCTGATACAGGGCTCAATTCCATAACCCTTCTCATCTTTCTTTCCAGGACAGGTATTTGTTAATATTTGTATTTGGGAAGTTGAAGCAAAATGAACATGAGCCAAAATTAAGAGTCAGCCCACTCCACTGACTGAGCCACCCCGGCGACCCAGATTCTTTATATAAACGTGGTACTGGTGGTGTGGTGGTGGTTGGCTTTTTTGTTTTGTTTTGTTTTATTTTGTTTTTGTTTTTGTTTTTTTAAACAAAAGTCTAGAGCATTTGTTAAGCCTGTACTAAGGTTTAGAAAATAAACCAGAATAGAAAAGTGTAGGCTATGAAAAGTCTCTAAAGATAATAATAAACTTACTCATTGGCTCATCCAAGTTTTTTTGGGGCCTAACGGCATATGCTACTTTTATTTACATCCTACAAGGAGTCTTAGAGAATAATTGAGGTCTTCTCAGTAATATGCATTTTCTCAAATGCAAAAGGCCACTATTGATACCATATTAAGTGCATTTGCATTCTCTATTTTCCTACTAGTAGATACATTGGATGCTGTTTCTGTAAGATGTAGGATATATTAATCAGTGTTAAAGATACTGTAAATTTTTTCAGGATATTTTGTTACAGATGAAAAATATATCAGGGGGTATTGTAATTAGGGCTTGTAGACAGAACTGCTAATTTTGAGTTACTTAGCTTACATATTTTAAAATGATTCCTTTTTTAACTTTTAATTTGAAGCAATTATAGACTCAGTTTCCTTTTAAAGCAGGTTTTTTTGTTTGTTTTGTTTTGTTTTTTTTACATCTGATATAGATATAGCATTAGGTTATGGTGAATTTGTTTCTTTTAAATAATGTTCATTCTGTTACCTGACAAGTTTTATTTTTCCTTTATGTGAGAAACTTTTCTGGAAATAACTTCTCATCTTTCTTTCCAGGACAAGTATTTGTTAATATTTGTATTTGGGGAGTTGAAGCAAAATGAACATTAGTCTTGCCTAGGTTTACTTTTTCAAAAACTCTAATGGGTACATCTCATTCCTCCAGCCCCCCACTTCCCCTGTCTTATTGCTACTTTCCAAAAACATCCCCTTTGATAGCCACACTATAGAAATATTTAGTTACAAGCAAATATTTTAGGAGTTGTTAGCATTTGTATAAGGGTTATGTTGATGTTCATATAACTTAAGGGCAAAGCAATTTTCTGGTACTGAATGAGTCAGAGTTTCTATTTTAACATATAAATGTGAATGCACATGTGAGTGCTCAATTAATGCCTTACTCTGGGGATTTAAAATGTGTGATTGCTGTATTATACACAAGTACTCTATCACCAAAAAATGGTGCCTATTATTTGACAATAACTATGTATACAATTGGGCAAAATAATTTTCTGAGAGGTACAATGGTTAAAGAAATACCCCATCTTAAAATGTCTCAAAGTGTTCATTGTTTTGCACATAGCAGGCCTTTAGATTATGGTACATATTAAAACCCACTCATCTGGTGGTGGTAATATAATCTGTGGTAAGTAATAATAGGTACATGAATGAAAAAAGAACAGTATTTAAAAAGTGAAACACATATATATGCTACATAATTGATACATTAGAGAAATCTCCTGTTTAAGGAAAGGTAGCTAGCTGTAAGATAGGCAATTTGGAGGAAGGGAGACACCCTAAATGGTATATTGGCAAGCTTCCTGAAATGCGTATACATAGTAATTAGATGCATATTGATTTTTAAATGTCAGCCAGCTTTTACTCTCTTCTTTCTCTAACATCTATTTGTATGAACAGTGACTATTCTTACTTCTGAAGGGGGTTTATTAAGGTTTTTGTGAACATTTGTTATATAGGAAATAAATTACCACTGCTATATATAACTAACATTAAATTTGTGATACTGGCAATGATTTGTGAGGAATTTAATTCCTTATATGTTAATTGATGGCAGAGACATTTCTGATGCTTTCTACTTGTATTCAGTGAACAAATCCCTTTAGTCGTGTTTATGACCTTCAACAACCTGCTAAAATGAATTACTACAAGTATCACTTATATTCTAAACTTAAGTAGCTTTTTGCTAACTTGGTTTAATCAGGATTGTGTTCATCATCTAGTAACATTCTTTTAGTAACCTTTAATGCTTTCTGGGCCTTTAAAGAATGTCAAGGAGCAGAGGATATTCCTGGGAGATTAAATATCTACCTTATTTCATGAAGTCTAAGGTACTTTGAGAGTATCCTTTTTTAGCCTTCCTAGACTGAGTCAATGGAAGTTAACTGCAAAACCATCTCACAGCTGTCACCTGGTGACAATGATTATAAGACACCACAGAATATCAGAGGCATCCAATGTTCAGAGAAGTTAAAATATGAAGAAATGCATATCTTGGAATTAAGTAGGATTTTTGAAGTCACTAATGATAAATTTAAAAGGATGGTGGGGCGCCTGGGTGGTGCAGTCAGTTAAGCGTCCGACTTCAGCCAGGTCACGATCTCGCGGTCCGTGAGTTCGAGCCCCACGTCGGGCTCTGGGCTGATGGCTCAGAGCCTGGAGCCTGTTTCTGATTCTGTGTCTCCCTCTCTCTCTGCCCCTCCCCCGTTCATGCTCTGTCTCTCTCTGTCCCAAAAATAAATAAAACGTTGAAAAAAAAAATTAAAAGGATGGTTATGATAGGGGCGCCTGGGTGGCTCAGCTGGCTGAGTTTCCAACTCTTGATTTCAGCTCAGGTCATGATCCCAGGATTGTGGGATTGAGCCCCATGTCGGGCTCTGCACTGAGCATGGAGCCTGCTTAAGACTGACTCTCTCTCTCTCTCTCTCTCTCTCTCTCTCTCCCCCCTCCCCCTCTCTCTGTCTCCCTTTGCTCCTCTCCTTGGTTCACTCTCTTTAAAATTAAAAAAGAAAAAAAAAAGAGTGGTTATGATAATCTTGTGTTCTGGTTTTTTATGATTAGACCAATATAGTACACTGAGAATTTTCCATTTGATAATTTGGAGTTTGCAGTCTTTTGTTCACTTTAGAATACTACTCAGTGTTTTATTCTCAGATTCATGCAGTAGAATATACAGTCATCCTTGAGATAATTGTTTTGCCTGCTGCCATAAAAGGCTATTAACTTTAATTACCTAGACTCTGAGGAGATGTATTTTGGCCTAGTTGCTTTGAGCAAGGAGTACAGGCGAGTTTTTTTTTCATATTCTTTATGTATAGTAACGTTAAAACTGGAATTGTGTCCATTTACTCACAGTGTCCATTGAGAAAAGATATAAAAGAAAAAGGAAATACTCACAAGAATGTTTAATTATACTCTTCTCATACCCTGTGCCACTGCACACTCCCCAAACACAGTTCTAATGATTGTGGTTCTTCATTCACAATGTTTAATACAGTCAGGAATGATGGGTCTCTTTGAAGTAGAAATAGGAAGGAAAGGATGATGCAGGGAAGGTAACCTTTAGTTATTTATTTTTTTACTCTCTATATGGTTTGCTTTTTATTTTCATATGCATTTATTTTTTTATAAGAATAATTACATCTTATAAAAATATGATTCCATACTGCTTATAAAATAAAGAAATGACATTTGACATTCTTGGTCTATTCCAAACATCATTTGACTTTTCATCTTCAACTAAATTATCCCTCATTGTAGCCATACTTGTCCACTTTTTGTCTCACATCTTCTGCATTTTCAGGGCTTTGTTTAAATTTATCCCTTTGCCGTATCTACCCTTTAAGACTAAACTAAATGCCAACTATTTGAACTTTTCCAGCTCCCTCCATAGGAAGTACCTCTTACATCACTACTTTGCAGTGGCAAATACATCTATGTAGCACTTATCAGAGACCACCTTTTGGAAGGGTTATTTATTTATGTGTCTAGTTTTCCTGTTAGAATTTTGGGACTGAATTATTTAGGTTTGTATTATCTCCTGTAGTACATGGTATAGATAGTGTTTCTTGAATTGAATCCTTATAGAATTTTAACTACATACTTTACTTATTTTCATTTTTTTCCAGAGACATCGTGTAGTAATTTTCAAGAATTACTAAATGTCATACTGTTCTACTTCTGAAGTTTCCATTCTCAGCCTTTACCACTATTTTCTGAAATACAAGAATTATTGTTGAATCGTTATATTGTATACCTGAAACTAATGTAACATTGTATGTTAATTATACTTGGATAAACAAACAAAAATAAAGTACCCTCCTGTGATAATCTGTTTCCAAATTAGTTAAAAAAAAAAAAAAGAATTATTCCTTCGCTAGTTACTATCCCATAGTGCAAAAGACCAGAATAATTGCAAAGATATTAAATTTTCATGTTACTTATCTGTTATACAAATTTTGTTGGTTATATAAGCTTCTTATATAGGGAAGAGTATTTTCAAAATAATGTGGGTTTTTTGTTTTTGTTTTTGTTTTTTTGTAGGTTACTTCCTCAGAACGTTGGCCTGCTCTATGTTGGAGGTTATGAAAGACCCTTTGCCCAAATCAAGGTATGATTGTTCGTTTTCCAGTATACTTTTCTTAGGTGTAGTTCACTTGTCCAGAACCCACCAGGCACCTGCCGATAACTATCAACATACTAAAATTATGAATGTGAATTACTGTTTTTGCATATTTCTGCTGAAGAAGTAATTCAGTTTTTCAAAGAATTGATTATTTTAATATTCTTGCCCATGGTAGAGTTAAATTTGGCCAAAGCAGTATTTAAAGTGTGTAATTTGATAAATTTTGAACTTCTTAACACTTGTGAAACCATTGCTGTAGTCAACATAAGGAACATATCCATCACCCCTAAAAGTTTCCTTGTGCCTCTTTGAAATTCCTCACTCCTGCCCTTCTTTTTTCCCTTCCAGTCTCCAGGCAACCACTGATTTGATTTGTGTCATCATAGACTAATTTGCATTTTCTAGAATTTTATATAAATGGAATTATACAGTATTTCTCCTGTCCCTCTCTCCTCCTTTTCCTCTCTCAGCCTCTTTGACGCAGCATAATTATTTTGAGATTCATCCATGTTGTTGCACTTACAAATAGCTCATTCTTTTTATTGTTACAGTAGTATTCCATTGTATGGTAATAGCACAGTTTCTTTATCCTTTCACCTGTGGATAGACATTTGGTTGTTTCTACTTTTTGGCTGCTTTGAGCATTTGTATACAAGTCTCTGTGTGGATATATACTTTTCATTTCTCTTGGGTAAATGCCTAAGATGAGAATGGCTGGATTAAATGGCGGTTGTATATTTAATATTTAAGAAATAACCCAAGTGTTTTCCCACCAGTAGGGTGTGAGATTTCCTTGCAATGGCCGTTTTAGTCATTCTTATGGTTACAGGGTGGTATTTCACTACAGTTTTATTTTGCATTTCTGTCATGGCTACTAATGTTGAGCATCTTCCCATGTGCTTGTTTGTCATCTGTACATCTCTAGTGAAGTGCATGTTCAAATCTTGCCATTTTTTAAATTGGGTTGTTTTTCTCTTTTTTTACTGTTGAGTTATGAGCATTCTTATATCTTCTGGATATAAGTCCTTTATCAGATTTAAGATTTGCAGCTTTTCCCCCAGCTATGGCTTGTCTTTTCATTCTCTTAAACAGGCTTCTCAAAGAGCAGAGTTCTTAATGTTAATGTTTATAAGTTTTTCCCCATGGCTCATGCTTTTGGTACTGATCTAAGAAATGTTTGCCTAACCAGAGTTACAAAGATTTTTCTCCTTTGTATTCTGGAATCATTACGGTTTTAGATTTTACATTTAGATGTAATATCTATTTGCGTTAATTTTAATATAAGATTCAAAGTTCAAGGTATAGAGGAATGTCGAACCCCCCATCTTTTTGGCACGTGGATATCCAGTTATTCCAAAACCATTTTTTAAAAAACTGTTCTTGCCACCACTGAATTGTCTTTGCATCTTTGTTGAAAATCAATTGACTATGTGTGTGCGAATCTATTTCTGGACTCTATTCTGTTCCATTGATTTTCGTGTCTACCCCACCGCCAATACCACACTATCTTGATTATTGTGTCTCTATAATAAGTCATGGAGACAGGTAGGGTAAATCCTCCAACCTTGTTCTTTTCCAAAGTTGTTTGACTAATTAGGTTCCTTTAATTTCCATACAAATTTTAAAATGCCAAATTCTCTAAAAATGCCCACTAGAATTTTAACTTGTATCATGTTAAATCTATAGATCAATTTGATGTGAAATGATATGTTAACAATACTGAATCTTTTAATTCGTGAAGACCACATATTTCTCCATTTATTTAAATCTTTAATATTACTCAACAGTATTTTGTTTTATTAAATTGAACTTTTTCATTTTTCATAGATTTATCCACAAATATTTTATATTTGTGGTGTTATAAAAGTGTTTTTTTAACATTTTTATAAAAAATTTTTTGCATAATTTTTGTTTACAATTAATGCAGGAAAAAAGGGGGTTTTTTTAGTTGAAATATTATTAACATACAATCGTATGTTCATTTCAGGTGTACAATATAATTATTCACCTGTGGTGTACATTACTCAATGCTTATCACAATAAGTGTACTCTTAGTCCCTTTTATCTATTTCACTCCTTCCATCCCCATTCCCCCACCTCGCATCTGGCAACCACCAGTTTGTTCTCTGTATTTAAGAGTCTGGGTTTTTGTTTGTTTCTTTTTTTTTCTTTGTTTATTCATTTGTTTCTTAAATTCCACATAAGAATAAAATCATTTGGTATTTGTCTTTCTGTGACTTACTTCACTTAGCAAAATATCTTCTAGGTCTATCCATGTTGTTGCAGATGGCAGTGGCAAGATCTCATTCATTTTATGGCTGAGTAATATTCCAGTGTGTGTGTGTGTGTGTGTGTGTGTGTGTGTGTGTGTGTGTGTGTGTGTGGTGTATGTGTGTATACACCACATTTTCTTTATCCATTCATTTGTTGATAGGCACTTGGTTGCTTTCATAATGCTGTGATAAACATAGGGATGTATATATCTTTTCGAATTAGTGTTTTTATTTTCTTTGGGTAAATACCCAGTAGTAAAATTACTGGATCATATGGTAATTCTGCTTTTAAATTTTTGAGGAACTTCCACAGTTTTCCATAGTGACTGTATCAGTTTGCATTTTTGCCAACAGTGAAAGGTTGCCTTTTTGTTTTGTTGATGGTTTCCTTAGTGTGCAAAAGCTTGTTATTTTGCTGTAATCCCTCTCAAAATACCAACAGAATTTTTTATAGAACTAGAAAAAATATTACTAAAATTTGTATGGAATCACAAAAGACCCCAAATAGCCAAAGCAATCTAGAGAAATTTAACAAAGCTGGAAATATCACAATCCCAGATTTTAAGATATACTACAAAGCTGTAGTAATCAAAACAGGATACTACTGGTACAAAAGTAGACACAGATCAGTGGAACAGAATAGAGAGCCTGGAAATAAACCCATGCTTATATGATCAATTTAATACAGAAGAGACAAGAATATACAATGGGAAAAGACAAGTCTCTTCAACAGATGTGTTGGGAAAACTGGACAACTACATGTGGAATAATGAAACTGAACCACTTTCTTCCACCCGACACACAAAAAAAACTCAAAATGGATTAAAGGCCTAAATGTGAGGCCTGAAACCATAAAACTCCTGGAAGAAAATAGAGGCAGTAATTGCTTTGACATTGACCATGGAGATATTTTTTATTTCAATTTCTGATTGTTCATTGCTAGTATATAAAAAGATTTTTATGTGTTTACTTTAAATCCTGCAGTTTTACTATACTCAATTATTCTAGTCCTTTTTTGCATATTCATAGGATTTTCTACATAAATGATTATGCCATCTACTATAAAAGACAGTTTTCCTTCTTTCTTTCTGATCTGGATGCTTTTTACTGCTTTTTCTTGCCTTACTACATTGACTAAAGCCTACACACAGAGTTGAATAGAAATGGTGAGAACAGACCTCCATGCCTTATTTATGATCTTTGAGGGAAAGTGCTCAATCTTTCATCAAACATTGTTTTTATAGTAATATTACTTAAGGGTTGAATCCTAGAGTCCATCTAAGCTTTCATGTAAGAAGTGGAATAATGTTATGAACTTTAAAGTAGTAATATAAAGGACAGTTTGAGATCATTCTTTCTTGTTATTATAACTTTTTGTTAATATTTTCTTATAGGCCAATAAAATTTGTTTTATGTTTTTTGTTTAGTTTTCTGATTTTTCCTCACATTTGTGTCTTGGCTCCATGAGTTGTTTCTTGTTCCAGTTGAGGGGTATGAGTTCAAATTCCTTTCTACCTGTGTAAATAACATATATTTTTATGCTTTGAAAAACAAGGATTTTTGAGAAAAGACTGAGCCTGAATAGAGGACATAAAAAATATTTAATGTTGAGGTTTAGTAACATTATTGGACTTTCTTAATGAAAAATCTTATTTTGGTTAGCATAGCATCAGCACCTCTTTAAATACTTCCACTCATTTAATTTAAATAAAAACACTCTCAAAAGTTCATCATCAGGATCTTAACTTGTGGACCCTCTTGAACTTTTATTCTTTCTTAAGTAATGACAAGCATTCAGGTACATTTGTTTTCTTCTATTTTTAATGTCCCTGGAACATGAGTTGGCAAGAGTTTCTTCATAAACCTCTCTCACTATCCTGTTCACCGAATTCAATAGAATTGCCAGGAATCCTAATAAGTTTCTGCAGGAACATTTTGAAAGCCTAATTTTTTTCTGTCCATTGGTTTGGAAAATCCTGTTTTTCCTTATTAGAACTGAAATAGCTAAAAAGTGAGAGGCTTGTATTATATATTTAGGGAGGGGTAGAATTTGTGTGTGTGTTACATGTTTCAAAAACATAGTTTAATATATGTATGAGGTTAATTCCTCCGTCACTCACCTGATTTATTAACATAACATTTTCTTTATCCAGGCCTTTCCTAACAAGCTCAGTGACAGAGGTCAATCCTTTGTCAACCCTTTATGCCTAGATAATCAACTCAAAAGAAAAGGGCCTATTATTGTAGGGCACCTTTATCCTTTGATGTTGCTGTCAGAAAGGTTTCTCTCATAAACCGTGAAAGGATTTCTTATCTTTATTAATTATTCAAGTTCCTTCATAATTCTTATGGTGTCTTTAAAAATGCTATATAGATCCTCACCTAATTAGAATATTTATAAGTTAACTGGAAAACAATAAAAAAATCATAGTTTAAATGACTGAGATTAGACTAGAAATTTAAGGTTCATTTCCTCCCTTACCTTGCACCTGATTCTTTGGACATGAAATACTAATACTTGTTAGATTCATTTCTCTCTCATTAAATAAACTAAGTGTAATGATACAGTGTTGTGTGGCATAGATATCAGATAAACCTTTAATAAATGGAAACTGGTTTGCTTTCCTTAAGAGCAGATTAGTTGAATTTTTTTGGTAAATAAGCTAGGAAACTGTTCACTTGAATATTTAGGAAAAAGAATTATTCACTAAC